CTCTCTCTCTCTCTCTCTCTCTCTCTCTCTCTCTCTCTCTCTCCACATCGATTAACATCGATTTTTTAGTATTTGAAAGTATGAGAATATAAAGTTTTATTTTTCAATTCTTTTTCTTTCGATGGAAGCGACCGGGGAGTAAACAACTCCGTTTAATCCCGAGACGGGACTCTTATCGCTTCTTTTATGCATACTTTGTAGACCTCGTTAGCGCTTTCTACGCCCTACGAACTTTTTCAACTACTTACTATTTAACGGGGCATTTTTTAATTTAGCAAGCGGACACGAAACGTCCGCGGATGAAACACTCTGCATGGATATTAAAATTCCTTCGAGATTCTTTCCAAGTTTAAAGCGCTTTCTCGAAGAAAAGAGCTCTGCTGAGAGGTAGTTTAACATTCTTCGACAGCAAGTAGCGGCTATCTATACATGTTTATTGGCTCTGTAAGCGTCTTCTTGCATTTTGTATAAATAAATCCTATATGAGGATCATCACTTATTTATGGATGGTTTATATCGTATTTTCAAAACGTTACATTTAACATAAACCATATGTGTATGCTACAAAATCATATGTTATAAAAAAGTTCCCAAATTTTTAATAGTGTATTGTTATTGTAATATTAAATAATTCTTTCTTTTTCTAATTAAAACAAGATTAAGACAAAATTATAAATTGAATGTGTTCTTTATATTCGTAACGAAAAATATCATGTGCTTCTGATTCTAATATTAAATATGTAATCATAAAATATAATGATAGTTTGAAAATTTATGAAAACAAAAAAAAAGAACTTAAATATTAAATTTATATATTTAAAACTAAAAATAAAAACTAAAAATATTTAATGGAATTTTAAAGATTCGATTAGTCTCAGCAAACCTCATGCTCTTAAGAAGTTTAAAATAATTATAATACGTTAAACATTTTTAATCTAATATTTACTTCTTAATTTTGATTTCAGAAAATTGCAGAACAAAACTACATGTAAAGAAGATTTTAGTTTTATAATTAGAACATGCTGAGTCTCTATGTTGAGTATCGTTTTTCAACGAGAGCGTGATATGTACAAGTAAGAAATATATCGAATTTATTAGTCCGCGTGTACAGTCATGATTTTTTTCTATTTTCTTTTTTTTTCTGTTCGAAAAACGGGCAGAGTAATTGACTAAATAAAATACTTTCTGAATCAGAAGGAAACGGAAAGGTTTGCTCGTATTCACGCAAAATTTGCACACACATGTGAAAGGAACGTAACGAGAATATCGGTGACAGGAAA